GGCCGCGAATCGACGACCCCGCGATCAGGGAGCGCGATAAGATAAGAATCGGGCCCACCTGGCAAATCACGTGATGGCTCACTCAGACATAAAGGGTGAGTCGTCGGGCTCACCAAGGACGCCGCAGTGAGCCAGGGAATGGCTCACGGGATAACACACCGTGATCCTAACATCATGGATCACCAACAACTAACCAGTGAGCCATCCAACATGAGCTCACCACCTAACACAACAAGGACAGGATGGCAGGTATATAAGGACGGACATTCTGGACTTGTAGATACATTCTTTCTCACGACAGTGATCAATCTAAGTCTTACCTTGTATTCATTGTAACGAGTGCGCAACGCCTTACGACACCACATCGTCTCAGAGTCACAACCTAAGCTTCTGCAAACAGCAACCCCAACCCTCTGACAGTGTTCCCCCTTCGGAAGCTGCCAGGTCGTAACACTATAACTCTATATTTAGAGGTAATAGAGGAGTAGAGGGCGTTTTAGAGGGAGTCTTAGAGGATATATTAAGAAAGGAAAAGATAATAGCTATTAGCTAATAAGTAGATCTAGATAAGGGTTTAACTTACTTTTCTAGAAGTTATTAAATAAGAAGGAAGGAATATTATATTTAAGCGGGGAGTAGATAACCACTAATTAATATTATTGCTGCAGTTAAGCCTTATACTCTTAACTTATAACCGGATAGGAAGGTATATAGAATAATAGGCTAGGGAACAACGTTAGACACCTAACATATAAATAGGAATAGTAGAGACCGGGTTCTAGCTAGATAATGGGCTCGTTGATAGTATTAGATGTTTCAATATTGATGCCCCTGCTATGCTGTAGGTATGTGGCCGGTATTTCTGAATATTATACGAGTGAAGAACACTACATAGACGATTACTGTTATAAAGTTAAATACATTAGTAGGAGTCGTAGAAGGGCGAACTACTATCTAGCATAACACCCTAAGTAGTAAAGCTCCAGGCAAAACTAAGCTGTAATAGTTAAAGTCATAGATTGCCAATGAGGAGTCCTGATTTCGTAAAAAGTTACCAGGTAATTACACGAAGAAATGGCATTAATTCTGAACATGGTTACACAAACGTATCATGACTGTCGAAGCTGCACAGTGAAGTCTCGTCTGGCAAACCTGCTCTGTTGTATGGCCTGGGTGTCTAAGGTCTAAGTACGGGCGAAGGCTATCAGATCTACCATCGCCCACTCCGCTGGTGCCGGCGATGCACAAAGTCCCGAATCGCCTGCAGGCAGGCCTCCTTGTCCCAGTCCTCCCCCGGCCAGCCATGCTTAAAGTAAAGATGCCGTATCCGGTCCGCGTCCTCCATGCAGCAAATTCCTGATTCGTTCCGTCATGCTCTCCCTGCCTCTCCATCGCCTCGGCGTCGTAGGGGTCGTCATCCGGGTCATATTCGACGTAACGTTCCTCGCGATCCCAGTAATGTCCATTCTGCCACGTCTGCTCACGTTCGAAATGCGCTTGACGTCTGTAAATGGTATGCTCGCCTGGAACAAACACCTCGTCGAACCGCTTCAGAGATTTGATGCGATCCGAAAAGAAGTCTTGGGCCAGGATAATAGGTGCAGAGGGCCCGCACTCGGCTTCGTCTTCGTAGACGAGTCCGGTCCAGGTATCGATGTAGATACAGTGGCCGGGGCCCTCCCAGCCCTCGGCTAGTGTGAGTATGTGACGCCCTTTCGAGGGTGGTGGATGGTCGTCTCCCACGAAACCGGATTCGTCAAGCCACATGTCTTCTTGACCGCCCTGGTAGGAGTCAGTCTCTGAATAGTCTACCATGGTGCTTCGGTGAGTGATGCATCCATCGTAGTAGTTAAATCGCGGCTCTGGGTCGTATATGTATGAGAGGTGGCGCAGGATGTCAAGGGCGAAAGGCGTCTTGGACTCAAGTCCATTGCTGGGGCCTGGCTGAATGTGCGGCCAGCCGCCCGGAGGCGGGTGCCGTACCCTGTCATCTGGGAGCTTGAAGCGGTCGAGAAACTCAAGAAAGTTTCGAACAGGCACGACGATGCGCTCGCGCTGGTCAATGAGGACCGTCTCAGCGATGCGATGGTATACGTCCTCGAGTTTGCGGCAGGTGAGGCGGAGGCCGAAGACGCTCTGTTGATTGAAGAGCGTGAGGAAGATCTTTATGTGAAGTTTCGTGGGAAGGTCCATAAGGCTTACGGACCAAGCGATGGGGGTGTCGTCTTCGTCTTCAGACATGGTGGCGGTAATGGTGGACTTGTGGAGAAGGCCTGAGGAAAAGGGACTGTGTGGCTGGAGGCAACATCGTGCTTATGCGCATCGCCCGAAAAGGCTCAACCTCCGCGGGCCAGTAATTTTGGCGCCATGCTTTGAAGATCAGCCAATAAGCCCTGAAGTACTCCATGCAAAAAGAATAGACCTGGTGTTATGTCTTTTGAAATAAGATCTTTCAGGGACATCTCCAGACTTGCGTCTTGGCCAGTGATTGGAAATCTAGTCTTCTTTAGGGCTAGTAGTCATCACGAGCACCTGCCAAGGTACCCATCTGGCTTTTTTATTAGATGAATGTTTTGCCGCTAAAGGCCACGGCTAATAAGCTCGTGCTTCTGAATTATAGTTAAAATGAAGAGTCACACCAATAGGCAAAGGTAAAATGTAGATGGTAAGATAGACATTTAATAGCATAACTCCCAAAGCGCAATGCCTCCATATTAGTGCCAGTTGTCCTGCTACGACCTGGCAGCGTCCGGGAAGGGGAGATCTGTCAGAGGGCTAGGGTTGCTGTGAACAGAAGCTTAGGTTGTGACAGAGGCAATACAGTGTGGTGAGGCGTTACTCATTATAATGCATGGCAGGTGAAATTTGAATTGATCACTGTCATGGAAGTGTAGCTGCAAGTACAGAATGTCCATACTTATATGCCCGCTCATTCTTCCCTTGCCATATTAGATAAGTAGTGAGCTCTTGTTGGGTGGTCCACTGCTGATGGTGATCTTGTAAGAGATGTTGGATCACGGCGAAGTTAATACAATCGTGATCCCTTGCTTGTTGGATCATCGTCCCACGGGATACGGTCCTGAGAGCTGGCTCATCTTATCAACCTGGTCATGTCATCTCCACGGGGTGGGCTTTGGGCGGCGTCCCTCCTTGTTTGTTGTTACAACATGAGGGCGCACGATGTGATTTTGCTATTCGACTACATATGCCAACCTGCGGGTCAGATGACAGGTTCTTGAGGAGATAAAACTGGCAAGCTCAACATAGCAGTTCCTTTTAAGGGGAACAGTGCTTGAGGGGAATTCTGAAGACGAGTGTATTGGGAGGATGAGTGGAAGGATGCCGGCAGATGGAGGTGGTCAGGGCGCAAGTGTGAGATGTTGGTGGCATTCACTGGTCAGTGGCATTCACCTGGTGCCAGGTGGCCCATGCCCTGCAGAATAGCTTCTCACTACACCCATCTTGACCTCCTATAACATAAGAGACAGACGGTACTTCCCTTCACGGGTATCTTTTGTGTACCTGACTTTGTATCACTAGGGGTAAGGCACCTTGGGCACCTACGAGATAGACTGACGATGAGCCTAGAGGGAACCCGGGTTGCTACAAGGCACAAGAGGGAACAAGACCGGCGACTACCACAATGACGCACGCCAACCCCGCGACGGCCCAGAATTAGTGGAGAGCGTAGTGGACAGTGGACAGAACCGGGAGCACTGCGAGGCCGGAGAGCAACGTCCTTGGATCCTTGAATCCTTGAATCTCAGAACGGGCACCAGCCACAGGCGTAGTGGCGGGTGCCGGCATCTGAGGCAACGTCATGCATGGCATTTTCATCGTCCTCCACGCAAGCAGCTCCAACTCTTTCCACCGGCAACCCAACGACGAGCCTCCTTGTGCCCTCCACATGAGCTCATCGAGGCCGAGAAGCAGGTCTCGACATCCACATTCATTGCCTGCCGTGATGTCAGACGGCGCTGCCATGGTGACTGACCTAGGCCAAGGCCGGGTTCTGCGAAGATCGCGGACGCAGGCTCGCCATATATCAGCAGCTCGCCTGCAGTGAAGATGGGGATCTGATTTTCCTCACTTCAACAGCCTCACGCATTGTACAAGATACCCAGAAATATTTATCAATAATCAATCTCATCAATTCTCAGCACCGTCACATCATCACAGCCACATCCACCACCACCACCACACCCACCACCACACCCACCACCACAAGCATCATGGGTCTCAAGGACAAGATCAAGGACGCTCTCCATAACGATGACCGGGACGAATACACCGACACGACAACCCACGGCCACACCGGCACAACCGGCGCCTACCCCAACGACGACGCCAAGCTTCACAAGACCGACCCCAGGACACACAACCACGGTCTCTCGTCGCACGACCCCAACTACAGACACCAGCAAACCGACTCGGGCATCGGGCTGAACGACCGCAGCCACAGGGACAACATCAACACCAACACCAGCACCTCTACCACGACCGCCACCGCCGCCGGCCAGAACGACCCCTACTGGGGCGCTGTCGGCCGCGACGACCCCAACCGTGTCGGCCACAACAACAGCAGTAGCCTGAACCGCAAGGACCTGCCTCTGCGCCCTGGCGAGCAGACCTCGGGTGCCTACGGCAGCACTGGCTACGGCAACACCTCCACCAATGCCGGCCCCCACGACAGCAACGTCGCTAACAAGGTCGACCCTCGCGTCGACTCGGACCGCGACAACCGTGGCGCCTACGGTACTACCGGCAACACCCACACCAACACTGGCTATGGTGGCACATCCGGTACCGGCTACGGCGACACCGCCAACAGGGGCTACGGCAACACATCCACCACCGGCCCCCACAAGAGCAACGTCGCCAACAAGCTCGACCCCCGCGTCGATTCCGACCGCGACAACCGCACCAACTACGCCTCCAACCAGGCCTATCCCAGCGGCGAAGCCGTCGGCGGAGGCACCTACAGCACCGCCCCCGGCAGCCACCAGGTGACCGGCCACCGCCTCGACGACAACGACGGCTACGACAGCCGCACCCGCGACCGCGACTTCGGCCGCGAGCCCCGCGATCGCGCCTCAGCTTCAGCCTCGGGCCCGGGCATCGCGGGTGGCGTCGGCGCCGCCGGCGCAGGCATCGCCGCGTCCGAGCTGGCGCGCCACCACCCGCGACCGCGACTTTTGACCAGACGGCCTCGGGGCGAACAACTACATTGAAACGATCGCAGATCTGCGCATCGGTCAAAAATCACCCCCCCATTCCTCCCACAAGCACCACCACTTTCTACGACAACCCACGATGCCGTCGCATCCATGGAATGAGGCCGTAACTGTCACCAGTGATGCAGACACCCGAGTGAGGAACCTTGACGGCAGGGGGGGAAAGCAGGCGGGGATTCTAGCTTGGCCGTCGCCTCGACCGCCCAGACGCTTCCCTACATACCGACGACCGTGCTCCTGCCAGATCGAACCTCATCCAACGGCAGCGACATCGCCTACATTTTTCGCCCCTCCACTGCATCTTCCGACAGCAAGACGCATGTTTGACCTCCTGTCGATCAAGATCTCAGCCACAGGTCGATGGGCGACACCAGTATTGAAAACCATTTCCTCCCGACTTACCCTTCTTGCGCACGCCAA